GTAGTCACAAACTGTAAGGCTGGAGGTGATGTCCTGGGAGACAGTAATAGTAAAGCTGGAGGTGCTGTCCTGGGAGACAGTAATGGTGAAGCTGGAGGTGCTGTCCTGGGAGACAGAAATGGTGAAGCTGGAGATACTGTCCTGGGAGACAGTAATGGTGAAGCTGGAGATTTTGTCCAGGTAGTCGGGAATTATACGCAGGAAGGAATACATATAAATGACCTCATAGGGGACAGGAGCCATAGTAGGGAAACAAGTGTAGTCAAAGATAAGATAAAACCAATATTGCAAACTAGAAATACCGCAGGAAATAGCAAACAAGAGGACTCCAATAGCAATAGTGAGGATAAATTACCAAAAACAACTGGTGGGAGCTCCATTGTTGGTGCTAGGGAGGATAGAAGTAAGACAGGAAAAACATGCACCAACAGGAAATACAGTCACAGAAACCCAAGGCAAACGGAAACCAAGCCTGTGCACATACTATGCACTTGGTATCTGCTGGCATGGGAAATCTGGAAAAACAGATGGACGTGCAACTATGACCACCCTAGAAAATGCCATGCCCATATGACAACAGGAAAATGCAAACTCCCTTCCTGTAAGCTTTTTCACCCTGAAATGTGTACCTCTTCAGTACAGGAAAGACTGTGCTATAACTTAAATTGCCAGGCATACCATCTAAAGGGGACAAAAAGATACAAAACATCCAGGCCATGGGAAAACCTGGGTAGCCACAGCCACTCAAGAGGGAGAGGTTTTTTAGTGCCAGGAAGGAAAAAAAACTGGCAGGAAATGGCAGAAATCGTACACCAAATCCAGTCATTCCTGGAGTGGAACCACAGTCGATGGCCTCCACTCCAAACCAACAGATACAGATACTAATGCCGGAAAAAAAATCCCCCCCCAGTACCAACAATACCACCAGTCCGATAACATTCTTCTTTGCAAATATACAGGGTCTAAAGCCAGCAACAAACAACAAAATACCTTTCATCCGTGGACTGCTTGCAGAGGCAAAGGCAATGTTCGCGGCTTTCACTGAGACCCACATAAAGGATCACTTGGACAATGAAATATGGATCCCAGGTTACAACCTATACAGATGTGACAGAGTGAACAGGAAAAAGGGGGGGGGGGGGTTGGCCTGTACATTGCAGAGTCACTTGTTTGCACAGAACTGCTTAATGCCTCAAATGACGTAGTGGAAGTTTTAGCAGTAAAGGTCGAGAACCAAAACCTAGTCATTGTGGTAGTCTACAAGCCTCCGGATGCAACATCCCAGCAATTCCAGGAACAGCTGTTAAAAATTGACCACTGTCTGGAAAATCTTCCAGCTCCTGCACCCAACATCTTGCTCCTGTGGGATTTCAACTTAAGGCACCTAAAATGGAGGAATATAGCAAATAATATTGTTGCAGTAATAACACCAGGAGGCAGCTCTGATGAAAACTCACACTCACACGAGCTTTTAAATCTCTGCACAAAATTCAATTTAAACCAGCAAATAATAGAGCCTACTAGACTGGAGAATACACTAGACCTCATCTTCACTAACAATGATGATCTGATAAGAAATGTCACCATATCAAAAACAATATACTCAGATCACAACATAATTGAGGTTCAGACATGTATGCGAGGAGCCCCAGACCGACAAAATGAGACTAGTCACGAGGGAGCATTCACCAAATTCAACTTCAATAACAAAAACATAAAGTGGGACCAAGTAAACCAAGTCCTAACCGATATAAGCTGGGAAGATATACTAAGCAACACAGACCCAAACTTATGCCTAGAACAGATTAACTCGGTGGCACTCGATGTATGCACAAGGCTTATTCCTCTAAGAAAAAGGAGGAGTAGATGTAAAATAGAAAGAGACAGGCGCTCCCTTTACAGGCGACGGAAAAGAATAAACAGAGCGGCTAAAAGAGGTCAATATATCTGAAATGCGCAGGGAGACACTGGTCAGAGAAATAGCAAGCATCGAACTTAAGCTAAAAGAATCCTTTAGGAGTCAGGAATCGCGGGAAGAACTAAAAGCTATAAATGAAATCGAAAGAAACCCAAAGTATTTCTTCTCCTATGCCAAATCAAAATCGAGAACAACGCCCAGTATTGGGCCCCTACTTAAACAAGATGGGTCCTACACAGATGACAGCAAGGAAATGAGTGAGCTACTCAAGTCCCAATATGACTCAGTTTTTAGCAAGCCGCTAACCAGACTGAGAGTCGAAGATCAAAATGAATTTTTTATGAGAGAGCCACAAAATTTGATTAACACAAGCCTATCCGATGTTATCCTGACGCCAAATGACTTCGAACAGGCGATAAATGACATGCCCATGCACTCTGCCCCAGGGCCAGACTCATGGAACTTTGTGTTCATCAAGAACTGCAAGAAGCCCCTATCACGAGCCTTTTCCATCCTATGGAGAGGGAGCATGGACACGGGGGTCGTCCCTCAGTTACTAAAAACAACAGACATAGCCCACTCCACAAAGGGGGCAGTAAAGCAACAGCAAAGAACTACAGACCAATAGCACTAACATCCCATATAAAAATCTTTGAAAGGGTCCTAAGAAGCAAGATCACCACCCATCTAGAAACCCATCAGTTACACAACCCAGGGCAACATGGGTTTAGAACAGGTCGCTCCTGTCTGTCTCAACTACTGGATCACTACGACAAGGTCCTAAATGCACTAGAAGACAAAAAGAATGCAGATGTAATATATACAGACTTTGCAAAAGCCTTCGACAAGTGTGACCATGGCGTAATAGCGCACAAAATGCGCGCTAAAGGAATAACAGGAAAAGTCGGTCGATGGATCTATAATTTCCTCACTAACAGAACACAGAGAGTAGTCGTCACAGAGTAAAGTCCGAGGCAGCTACGGTGAAAAGCTCTGTTCCACAAGGCACAGTACTAGCTCCCATCTTGTTCCTCATCCTCATATCCGACATAGACAAGGATGTCAGCCACAGCACCGTGTCTTCCTTTGCAGATGACACCCGAATCTGCATGACAGTGTCTTCCATTGCAGACACTGCAAGGCTCCAGGCGGACATCAACCAAATCTTTCAGTGGGCTGCAGAAAACAATATGAAGTTCAACGATGAGAAATTTCAATTACTCAGATATGGTAAACAAGAGGAAATTAAATCTTCATCAGAGTACAAAACAAATTCTGGCCAGGAAATAGAGCGAAACACCAACGTCAAAGACCTGGGAGTGATTATGTCGGAGGATCTCACCTTCAAGGACCATAACATTGTATCAATCGCATCTGCTAGAAAAATGACAGGATGGATAATGAGAACCTTCAAAACTAGGGAGGCCAAGCCCATGATGACACTCTTCAGGTCACTTGTTCTATCTAGGCTGGAATATTGCTGCACTCTAACAGCACCTTTCAAGGCAGGTGAAATTGCCGACCTAGAAAATGTACAGAGAACTTTCACGGCGCGCATAACGGAGATAAAACACCTCAATTACTGGGAGCGGTTGAGGTTTCTAAACCTGTATTCCCTGGAACGCAGGAGGGAGAGATACATGATATATATACACCTGGAAAATCCTAGAGGGACTAGTACCGAACTTGCACACGAAAATCACTCACTACGAAAGCAAAAGACTTGGCAGACGATGCACCATCCCCCCAATGAAAAGCAGGGGTGTCACTAGCACGTTAAGAGACCATACAATAAGTGTCAGGGGCCCGAGACTGTTCAACTGCCTCCCAGCACACATAAGGGGGATTACCAACAGACCCCTGGCAGTCTTCAAGCTGGCACTGGACAAGCACCTAAAGTCAGTTCCTGATCAGCCGGGCTGTGGCTCGTACGTTGGTTTGCGTGCAGCCAGCAGCAACAGCCTGGTTGATCAGGCGCTGATCCACCAGGAGGCCTGGTCACAGACCGGGCCGCGGGGGCGTTGACCCCCGAAACTCTCTCCAGGTAAACTCCAGGTAAACAGTAATAATAATTATCTTTATTTCTACAAGTACATGTACAAGGATATAGGCCTAGCTACATCAGTGACAGACTATTATATTTAAAGCCCCTTGTTATGCAGAGCATTTCGGGCAAACTAGGTCAATTTTGTCTCCAGGATGGTCGCGACCCGCACCAGTAGACTTAACACCCATGTACCTTTTTACTGGTAGGCGAACACTGGACAGCAGGTGTCTTAAGGAAACACGTCATGTTTCCACCCGTACCAGGGATCGACTCTCGGATCTCAGTGTGTGAGCCAAGTGCACTAGCAATTGAGCTATAGGACACCTATGATAATTGTAATCACCTAAATTTGTGTAACTATACTTATGTGTACCTGAAGCTAAATAAACTTATTAACTTCCCCCTCCATCCCACAGTTCATCACTTCGCTAATTCCATCCCATCATTCATCACCTTCCCTAGTTCCGTCACACAATCCATCACCTTCCATAACTCCATGGCACCTTCCGTAAGGTGTCCCGTTGCTCGATTGCTAGCGCACTCGCTTTACACATTGAGGGCCGGGGGTAGATCACCAGTAAGGGTGGAAACATTAGGCCGTGTATTCTAAGACATCCGCTATCCAATGTTCACCTAGCTGTAAATAAACTAGGTACCTGGGTGTTAGTCGACAGGTGTGGGTCGCATCCTGGGGGACAAGATTAAGGATCCTCCCCAATGAAAGTAAGACAAGACAGTCCTCGATGACACTCTGACTTTCTTGGGTTATCCAGGGTGGCTAACCCTTCGGGGTTAAAAATCCTAACGAAATCTTATCTTAGAAATAAAGATTATTAAACCATACCACGGGTGGGATTTAAACCCGCGGCACACCTTCCCCTGCATCAGGTCCGGACATGCGCACCTCGCTGCTCCTCTGAGGTAACATGTAAACAGTTGTGATCCAGCTGGTACAGCCGGGGTACACCACATGTTTTTCTTTGACTCGTAAGTTTCACAGAGGATTCTGGGTCTTGAGCTTATGTGTCAAGTGTAGGGCGAATTTTATTTGTTTTGTGCATCAAATTTGTAGTAGGAGGAAAAAGTGGTATTTCTTGTATTTCATTATCAGACATTATCTTCCTAGGTGTTAACTCCAGTTTACATACCTAAAACTTTTTCCCCGGAGGTAATATAATTTTTGGTTGAATTTCATAAAACTTATTTTTTTATGTAATTTGGCAGCTTGAAATTATTGACACAGTCTGTTTATTAAGTAAAATCTGTTATAAACTCCAGTAGTATAGGATTTTTGTGAATTCTATATTACAGGCCTAAAATATTTTACCAGAGCCATGATTTTGAAAGGAAAGGTTAAATATTTTGATTTAAGTACGGGCACACATAGGTACAGTTATCATACATAGCGTAAATTACTTAGGATAACCCAAAGAAGTTAGGGTGATTTATTTTCATTCGGATTTCATTCGGGTCATTACAAGACCTCAATGAAAATAAGTCACTCAAACTTTTTGGGTTATCCTACGTAATTTACACTATGTATGATAATTATACTTATGTGTACCTATGCCAAAATAAGCTTCTTTGCACTGGAGGGTTAGTAACCCAGGATGACCCAATAAATCTCACTTTTATTTTCATTGGGGTCCTCAGTCGTCCCCCAGGATGCGACCCACACCAGTCGACTGACAAACAGGTACCTACTTGCTTTCTAGGTGAATGGGACAACAGGTGTAAGAAAACATGCCCAGTGTTTCCACCTTTGCTAGTGTCCGTGGTTCGATCCCTGGCCGGGTGGAAACATTGGATGTGTTTCCTTACATCTGTTGTTCCATTCACCTAGCAAGCAAGTAGGTACCTGGATGTTAGTTAACTGGTGTGGGTCACATCCTTGGGGACAAGATTGAGGACCCCAATGGAAATAAGACACAGTCCCTCGTTGATGCACTCCCTGTCTTGAATTAACCTGGGTGGCTAGCCCTCCAGGGTTAAAAATCCAAACAAAATCTTATCTTAAAGCCACTGTGCATTACTTTTTTTCTATTGGGGCACTTTCATATACATGTACTTCCCTGTGATGTAAGCCACAGCAGTGTGCTGACATGCAGGTATCCACTGGCTGACATGCAGGTATCCACTGGCTGACATGCAGGTACCTGCTGGCTGACATGCAGGTACCTGCTGGCTGACATGCAGGTACCCACTTCCTGACACTCAGGCACCCACTGGCTGACATGCAGGTACCTGCTGGCTGACATGCAGGTACCCACTTCCTGACACTCAGGCACCCACTGGCTGACATGCAGGTACCTGCTGGCTGACATGCATGTACCTGCTGGCTGACACACAGGTACCCACTTCCTGACACTCAGGTACCCGCTGGCTGACATGCAGGTACCCGCTGGCTGACACGCAGGTACTCGCTGGCTGACACACAGGTACTCGCTGGCTGACACGCAGGTACCCGCTGGCCGACACACAAGTACCCACTGGCTGACGTGCAGGTACCTGCTTGCTGACACTCGGGTACTTGCTTGCTGACATGCAGGTACCTACTGACTGACACACAGGTACCCACTGGCTGACAAACAGGTACCCACTTACTGACATTATCTGTGTGCCCTGAGAACCATTGTAGTCATTGTTAATGAATTCATAATGTAGATTAAAAAGGGTTAGTAAGACAGGATAAGTCATAAAACCAATCATTGTGGGCATATTTGTTTGCCAGAAACACTTTGCATATAAAGGGGCCTTTGGCATGTTTGCCAAATTGTTATACTCCTTTGTACAAACATGTATCAATCTACAATAAAATTGTTATTTGTTATTGCTATTATTATAATTTGGTGCTAAGAGATGGCCAGTAGTCCAGCCCTGGAGTGGGATTTGACCCCACATTCTTACTAACCACTCTGCAGCATTTATTCTTTTTATTTTGCTTTTGTTTTTGTGCCACATCAGTAGGGTGTGGCACAAGGCAATGTGACCCCACACCAAGGCAGTGTGACCCCCACACCAAGGCAGTGTGACCCCACACCAAGGCAGGGTGACTCCACACCAAGGCAGGGTGACTCCACACCAAGGCAGGGTGACTCCACACCAAGGCAGGGTGAATCCACACCAAGGCAGGGTGACTCCACACCAAGGCAGGGTGACCCCACACCAAGGCAGGGTGACTCCACACCAAGGCAGGGTGAATCCACACCAAGGCAGGGTGACTCCACACCAAGGCAGGGTGACTCCACACCAAGGCAGGGTGACTCCACACCAAGGCAGGGTGACTCCACACCAAGGCAGGGTGACTCCACACCAAGGCAGGGTGACACCACACCAAGGCAGGGTGACCCCACACCAAGGCAGGGTGACCCCACACCAAGACAGGGTGACCCCACACCAAGGTAGGGTGACCCCACACCTAGGCAGGGTGACCCTATGCCAAGACAGGGTGACCCCAAAACAAAGAAACAATCATTATTATTCATTCAATAGCTGTCTTGCAGAAGCGTGCAGACATCACAATTAAATTATTGCTCCAAATTGCAACAGCCCCACCCCTCCTTCAGGGTACAGGCACTGTACTTCTTGCCTCTATGACTTAGTTTGTCCATTTAGTTTCCCTGAATTCATTCATAAATGTTACCTTGGTCACACTAACAGCACATCAAGCCATCAACACTACTTGTCTCCACCTGCTTCAATATAACATCCTCACACAAGCCTCCTAGAAGCTCAAGCCCCTAGTACTCAAAACTTCCTTCAACCACTTCCTCTAACCTTTCCGACGGCAACCCCTACCTTCCACCCAATTTATGTACCCTCTTGGTCATCCTCATCGTATTCTGCTCCATTGTCTTTAAATGCCCAAACCTGTGTTCATCTCTCTGAATTATACCTTCAGTAACCTCACACCATCTTAATTTCCACATTCCAAATTCATACCACACATTGTTCTCAAACATAACAGCTCCACTAACTCTAACATCCTCGCTGCAACTTTTGAATCCCATGGTTACACTCATATGGTACTATGTACACTTACCTAACCTATGGTATTTGTGCTTGGGTATCAACAGCAACTAATCACCTTAAACCATTAATAACCCAGCAAAAAGCTGCTGTGCGGATGATCACCAATTCCTGCGCCAGACAACACACCCTTCTGCTCTGCAAGAGTTTGAACTTACTTAATATACAAAATATGCACTCATTACTGTGCCTACTCTACATATAGAACATTAAACCTCAATATTAACCCTTCTCTCAAACTTCTTCCTGATAGCTACAACAGAACACACAAGCACAACACAAGGCACAAAACTCTCTTTAACATCCCTCATGTCTAACTTGCCCTATGTAAAAATGCAGTGCAAACAAAGGGCCCCAAGATATGGAATTCATTGCCTGAACCATCGAAAGGTCCCCTCTCTGCCATTTAATCTAGGGCTAAAATTAAAATTTACTTCATCTCTCAAACTTAACTATATCAACACAACACTACACTATGCCTAAAATCATGGAACCAGTTTGAAACTACTCAAGAAGTCCCAATTAACTTAAGATCTCTAAATAAATTTAAAGTATTAATACACACTTAAAATTGTACTATTGTAAATTGTACTAATTGTAATATTTGTTTTTGCTACCTCTCTACTTTAAATTTTATTATAAATTTTTATAATTAATTTTATTTATCATAAAACTTTTACTACCTTTCTTTTTATAATACAGCCTCCCCTCACTTAGTGACATACTTATTTACCAACGACTTGGACTTACGATGGGCTCTCTGACCAGTATACATACCTAAATAAGGTATATTAGAGATGATTTCTTCTATTCTAATTATTACAATATACAGCCCATTACTGTATAAACATTTAAAGATATACCAGAAATGTTATAAATGGTGCAGAGGTGACATTAAAATAATATCAAAGATGGTTGACACAAACCCACTACCATTATAGTATGCTCCTCACTTAGCGACAAATTCGTTTACCGATGTGGTCTTTGGAACAGAACTCCGTCGTTAAGTGAGGAGTGGTTGTAATGCATCATTAAAATTTACCACTTCATAACCAGTCTAGTTTTAAGTAGACTGTAAACATTAGGATTAGTCTGCCTGAAATGCTCATGCATGCTAGTGGCTTTCTTTGTGCTTAACAATATTTTATTACATGTAAACTACACATTGTATACTATGCAAAGAAGAAAGGTTTGATTTTGATTTGATATGATACTCTGGTACATTTCACTTATTGAATCCGGGTATGAACTTCTTCCTTTCTACAAATCCCTCAACACTCGGCCCAATTTTTTTTTCTTTATTTATTGTGATTCATAGTGTCTTTCATAGGACCTCTTCTGACATATCCACTCTCAAATGCATATATGAATACATGTATATTTATTTATTTGTCTGAGGGCAATGTGTGGTGTGAATATAATGCAGAGAATTCGTAGTTTGGAGGTTAGGAGGAGGTGCGGGATTACCAAAACTGTTGTCCAGAGGGCTGAGGAAGGGTTGTTGAGGTGGTTCGGACATGTAGAGAGAATGGAGCGAAACAGAATGACTTCAAGAGTGTATCAGTCTGTAGTGGAAGGAAGGCGGGGTAGGGGTCGGCCTAGGAAAGGTTGGAGAGAGGGGGTAAAGGAGGTTTTGTGTGCGAGGGGCTTGGACTTCCAGCAGGTATGCATGAGCGTGTTTGATAGGAGTGAATGGAGACAAATGGTTTTTAATACTTGACGTGCTGTTGGAGTGTGAGCAAAGTAACATTTATGAAGGGGTTCAGGGAAACCGGCAGGCCGGACTTGAGTCCTGGAGATGGGAAGTACAGTGCCTGCACTCTGAAGGAGGGGTGTTAATGTTGCAGTTTAAAAACTGTAGTGTAAAGCACCCTTCTGGCAAGACAGTGATGGAGTGAATGATGGTGAAAGTTTTTCTTTTTCGGGCCACCCTGCCTTGGTGGGAATCGGCCAGTGTGATAATAAAAAAATAATAAAAAAAATTATTTATCACATGAATGTATTTACTGTATGTACATACATATACATGTACACATTTAAACACTATACAGTATAATATATACTGTAAATATTAAAGATTAAAATGTGAAGATTCTTTATTTCAGCCTGATGCAGTGTTTGTACAAGAGTGAATGACATTTAGGTGTGCATGCAGAAAGCCCCTTAGTATGAAGAGTATTTAATGATAAATGTTTTTCAGTATGTGTGTAGGTCGAGTTCAGGTATGGCTAATCTGGAGTTGGATCCACTGTTCCGTCGTGGGTTGCGGCTTCTGCATTCACGGAGCCGGGACTCTGTGGATCAGCTGAAAGCCATTGTAGATGAAGCAGTCAGACAGAGACAGGGAAAGACTATACCTCCGATGAGCAAGGTGAAAATGAAATTAACATATTATATTTCTTTTAAGTTTTCCTATGATATATATACAATATGGGCATATAAAATTGTTTATTTTTTGTGAGATTTAGTTACACTTTTTTACATAAACAAAATACAATATATAGGTTTTCGTATTGAGGAATTATATTGTAACTTTAGGAACCATTCCTCAGGATCCATTCAGTCTTCGTAGAGAATCTCCAATTCCACGATCAAAACCTGGCAGTCCCATTCCTGTTTCTATTTCAAAGAGAGAGGAAATTAAAAAGGATATGGAGCGAAAATTGAATGTAAGTAATAGTAGACTATTTAATATTGATTTAAGAATTAAAAAAGTATTATATTTGAGTTTTACAGTGTGTAATATTGAAATTATATTCGTGTATGACAGTATTGTTTGAACTAAAGTAGAAGCTACTGTCTCGTGTAATGGCAGATGCGTGATGATGATATGATAATGCCCAAGAGGCCACGTTTAGACTCTCCAAGTGCATTCAAGTCTCACACTCCTTCTCCAACACCATCCATTAAATCTGAAAGTTCTTCTCGTAGTCGAAAGTCTGATGAGAGTGAGTCAGATACTGACATGAATGATCTGGCTATGGAAATAATGGATGAGGTCAACTGCACAGTTTGCAAGTTAGTCACTTAATTTTTTTTTGAGTAATAAGTTAGTATTTAGAAACAGAATGTTGATATCATACAGGAGGTCCCCATCTTAAAAGTGAGTTTTTTCTGTGTTTTTTACTTAGAAAATTGTTCATATAAAACAATAGTACAGTAGGTGGGTATGTCTCATGTATGTTCATAATGTGGCTTGAGTGTTCATAAGCTGGGCCCCCTGCACCCCGTTTGTCAGTGACATCGTGGATGATAACATAGGTTAAGATTTAGGTATTGAAGTTCAAATTCCAAATTTCATCCATGTGTACTGCTAAAATTTAGGTCAAAGTAGTAGTAATTTTTTATTAGATTTCATGTAACCCTTTCACTGTCTCTTACATAAATCTACACTATTGATGCAAGCATCAGTCGGGTAGATCTATGTTTTAAGCACAGCTCCTTCAAATATGCTGTGAGCATATTTGTGAGGCCTAGACATGAGAGAATAGGTCTGTTTGGTGAATGTGCATGGTAAAAAAAAAAATTCGTGTCCCACATAGTGCCTGACTGGAAAAGCAAACCCCTGACCTTGTGTATAGTTTAAAATAGCAACTTTGAGGGGTTTTCTAGAATGTTTTTTTATGGTTTTATTGGCTGTTTTTTGCTATCAGTTGATAGAATGGAAGATAAACTACTGACATAAAGATGATTATGGTCAGTTTCAGGAATCAAAGTGAAGTAGCTTGAAATCAGGCTCAAAGTAGGAGAAATGTTTGATTTTTGATGATTTTCTTGAGGATGGGTAAAGCCCCATACCCCCCAGTCTGTTTTATGTTTTTTTTTTATTAGGTCTGCTTCAGTTATTAGGATGCCCTCAACCATGACCAGTGATTCCTGGTTATATTTTATCATCCATGAAATAGGGTAGAACTTTGTTTTTGTGTGATGATTCAAAATGGAGGGCAAGTGTAATATTGCAGTGGCTTAGGGACATGATTACTGGAAAAAGGAAATGTTGCTTTAGTGGCTGCAGTACCTACTGTGTTTATTTTGTGCTCTATTTTTAAAGTGAAATTTTTTGAAGTTTGTATAAAATTGATCAGATTGCTGACTCCTAATATTCTGGTATTTGAATGGGTAGTTTCTTGTGCTGAATGGATAGAACTAGTGAAATAGCTAAGAATTTGGTCAAATTAAGCAATAGACTTGGCTTAAAACAGAATTCAAAGTGGTCAAAATTGTTGTATAAATTGTGCCCAGGACCACCAACTTTTCAGCTGCATAATTCCGTAATTTTTCCATTAACAATTTCAGGGTTTCGGACATACTAGTATCGCTTACGCACCAGGGTTTTTGACGTACTCGTATGCCTAAATTCTAGCGCCCCCTCAGATCTAGTGAGAGAAAGCTGGTGGGCCTACATATGAAAGAATGGGTCTATGTGGTCAATGTGCGCAGTATAAAAAAATCCTGCAGCACAGTGCATAATGAGAAAAAAAAATCTTTGACCGTGTTTTTGGATTAAAACAGCGAATTTGCACTGTATTTTTGTATGGTATTTATTGTTGTATTCTAGTTTTCCTGGTCTCATTTTATAGAATGGAAGACATATTACAGAAATTGAGATGATTTTGAATGGTTTTACAATTAAAAGTACCTTGAAATTGAGCTCAAAGTAGCAGAAATGTTCGATTTTTACCAAAGTTCAAAAGTAAATAAATCATGCTAAGCATCCAATACACATCAACTGGTGAGTCTAATATTCTTTCACAAGTGTGCCGATATTATTTATATCATTTCTACACTAATGCAGTAGTCTGCATAACAGTAAATCTTCTATTTTTTGTGAGAATAAAAATTCAAAGTGGAAAGCAAAAGAATGTAAGAGGGGCATGGGGACGTGACTAATGAACAGAGGAAATGTTATTTTAGTGTCAGGAATGTCTTTCTTGTTTATTCTGGACCCTATTTGGAAATTGGCATCTTTTGAAATTTGTGTGAAATTGGCAAAATTGCTAAATTCTGACCACTGTATTGCATAGTTGAAATCGGTAAATGGGTGGCTTCTTGTACTCATTCGATAGAAAAAATGGAGTTCTAGCGAAATAGTTATGATTTTTGTCAGCTAGTACACTGGAATTGGCCGAAAATAGGGCTGAAAGTGGGCAAAATCGCCGATGCGTAAACATCGTCGAGACCGCTAACTTCGCGAGAGCATAATTCTGTACGTTTTCCATCAAATTTCATACTTTTGGTGTCATTATGATCGGGAGAAGATTCTCTTATCTTTTCATAAGAAAAAATTATTTTTTTCTTTTTTTGAAAATTTGTCGACCCTGAGAACAAGTCTGGGAGAGGGCCTGTCGACCCTGAAAGGGTTAAGTGGCAAGGGGTTCACAGTTCAGAAAGAAAGAAGATAAGGAGGGTTAATAAAGAAGATGTGAAGGTAGGAAATCGATTCTCTGTTCTTTAAGACGAGTGTACTTCAGGGGTTGGTGAGGTTAAAGGTACCTCTGACTCCCCTGCTAATCAAGGTAAGAATATTCTGATTGTGGGAGACTCTAAGGTAAGATATATGGACCATGCTTTTTGCAACAGAGATAGAAAAGTCAGAGAGTGTGCCTCCCAGGAGCTGGTGTTGGTGACATAATCAGCAGGATGGATAATATTATTTCAGTTAATGGGAACAAGCCCATTATCTGTCTTAGTGCTGGTGGAAATGACATTGGGAAGGGCAGCAGACAGGAGCTATTGGATAAGTACAGGTCAGCCATAGAAGTAGTCAGGACTAAAGGGGGTGGGAAATGAATGGATGTCTAGGGCAATTGGTATAACTTGTTGGCTAGACAGGTACTGCAAGGAACTTGCAGTCCCATTCATTGATAACTGGGACAAATTCTATGACAAACATGATATGTATGCAAGGGATGGAGTTCATCTCTCTGGGGTTGGAGTGGTTGCATTAGCCAATTTGATTGAGGGGGTAATTGATGACTTGTCTAGGACTTTAAACTTATAGATTATAGAGGTATGGGTGTTTGTGGGAAACAATCAGGCTGCAGTATTATTGTTGGAAACAGCAGATATTACCAGGATACCTCAAAGATATGTTTAAAAGACAATATTCAAAATAAAGTTCCTAATAAAGGTAAAGCAACTGATCAACAAACAAAGAGAGATAGTAGAGGGCAACGAGCGATAAGCTCCCTTAAGGTTTACTTTACAAATAGTAGGAGTCTAAGAAATAAGACAGATGAGCTAAGATCACTTGCAAGTGCAGGTAATATAGATATTATTGCTATAACTGAGACCTGGTTAGTAAGTAAGTAAGTTTATTCAGGTATACACAAATACAGTTACATAGAATTATCGTACATAGCAGCATACGTGTAGAGAACCTAGGATAACCCAAAAAAGTCAGACAGAGTGACTTATTTCCATTGGGGTTATAAACTATTCCACACTGATAGGGTCAACAGGAAGGGTGGTGGAGTGGCGATGTATGTCAGAGATAATTTAAATTGTGTTAGACGTGATATAAGAATAGAAACATCGGAGACAGAATCTGTTTGGCTACAGTTTCTCGAGGGGTATGAAAAATTAATTTTGAGTGTGATATATAGGCCCCCACACCTTGACAGGGAGTGCAGTAAGCTGCTGTGGGACGAAATTCATAAGGCGTGTAGAAAATACAGTGTATTTTGTATGTAAATTGATGAAATATATTGTAGTTAATAAAAGTTAATTTGTAAATAAAAAAGGAACCAGCAAGAGTGTTTGCGTTGCTTGGGAAGGGAATTTGATGGAAAACCTACAGAATTATGCTCTCGTGAAGTTAGCGACCTTGGCAATATTTACGAATCAGCTATTTCACCCACTTTGAACCCTATTTTTGGCTAATTCCATTATTCCAGTCGACTAAACTCATAGTTATTTCTTTAGAACTCGATTTGTTCTACTGATTGAGTACAAGAAACTGCCCATTTACCGATTTCAGCTACCCAATAACATGGTCGGGAATTTGCAGTTTGGCCAATTTCACGAAAATTAAAAAATGACAGTTTCAAAATAGGCTCCAGAATGAACAATGCAGACATTCTTGGCTCTAAAATAACATTTTCTTTGTTCATCAGTCACGTCTCCAGGCCCCTCTGATATTACTCTTGCTTTCTGTTTTGAATTTTTATTCAAACAAAAAGTAGATTTACTGTTATGCAGACTACTGCAATATTGTAATAATTCTACAAATAATGTCAACCCATTCATGACTGCATATTAGAATGGCTAGTTGGACATTTATTGGGCAATGACATTATTTGTTTGCTTTTGAACATCGGCAAGAATCAAACGTTTCCCCTACTTTGAGCTCCGTTTCCAGGTTCTTTTTATAGTAAAACCAATCAAAATCACCTCTATTTCTATAATATGTTTCCCATTCTATCAAATGAGGCCAAGAAAACGAGAATACAACCATAAATACTATATGAAAATAGAACACAAAGTCGGTATTTTAATTAAAAAAAAGCGGTCGGAGTTTGTTTTTCTCATGCACTGCGTGCTGCAGGATTTTTTATATGGTGCACACTGACCACACAGACCCATTATTTCACATGTGGGCCTACCAGCTTTCTCCTGCTTGATTTGAAGCTGCTAGAATTTATGAGTATATACATATACATCAAACACTGTGGCTCGTAAGACATATATATATACGACCAAAACAGTCAAAGGGTTAAACTATTTATTACCTATAACTAAGCCCCTTTCTATACAAAGTTCAAAGGGCTCACATTATCATTTACACCTGGCACTCCAAACTTACCTACCACACCCTCTCTAAATGTTTCTCCTACTTTAGCATTTAGGTCCCCTACCACAATTACTCTCTCACTTGGTTCAAAGGTTTCTATACATTCACTTAACATCTCCCAAAATCTCTCTCTATCCTCTACACTCCTCTCTTCTCGAGGTGTATACACGTTTATTATGACCCACTTTTTGCATCCAACCTATATTTTAATCCACGTAATCCTTGA